TGTTGAAACTGTTACAAATGGCTATTTTTTTGCCTTCAGTTGTAATTAAACATCTTGAAGTGATAAAAGTGAAGACACACTCAGGGAATTGTTCAGCGCATTCCTCTCTGAGTGAGAGAAAAACACAGCAGGCAGGGCTGTCTCATCCAAACCAACACTGTTTGGTACTTTTTATATTCAGTTATCTTTACTGATTCAAGATTCAAATCGCGATTCAAATCTTGAATCTACTGCAGGGGCATCTTGAGATAGTATATATTTTTGAGGCAATGGGTACAAAAAAACTATGCATATAACATAATATTAAAATCATCCTTACATAAATATAAACCATAATTCAAAATTGCTTTCCAATATTTTGTGAAGAATTTGAAAAAAATCGAATATATGTCTCATCAAAATTGTCAATACATATCCATTGGATTTTGAACTTTTGGCCTCCAATCCGACAGTTTTATAGAAATGGCATTAGCAACTTGGTGGAGAACAAAGCGAAGCATTGAGCAGCCTAAAAAAGTATATTTATCTCAAGAGTTCAAAACTCAAGTTAAACATAAATAAAGAGTGATACAGTATAGACTAAATAGTTTATGTAAATTCACCAACAAATTCACCACCATTAACATTTTCCAGTTTTCCTATCCTCCTATTCTTTGTCTAAGGTAGCTTCATAGAATCTAAATTAAATGAGATGTAATTCCATCCAGTGTGAACGTCCATTGCATGTTACATAATTGGTAGTAAAATTAAACAAGAAATTATGATTATTACATTACATAGATAATTGTTATTATACTAACACCACAGTTTCACTGGATTATCTTCTCCTTGGGTGTTCTTAGTCATTTTCTAACTACCGGTAGGTATCATTTATCAAAGAAGAATCCAGGAATCAAGCACAATCAGCAGGACAAGTGTTCCCCGACTCTCCCTGCATGCTTCATTAGGCTGCCCTGTTGACACAAACAGAGTGGTGAAAGCTGAGCCTTTCACTAATACCCTTAATGCCCCTAGTACTTCGCACAAGGAGGGCAAATTATCTCTAATTACCCCAGTGATTTGAAGGCATGGAGCTGGTTCGTGGAATAAGATGTTTGATGGGAAAAAAGAAGGACAAGGAAGTGAGAGGAGGAGAGATTATGATTGCTTTATGGATCTTTCTCTTCCTCTTCCTTTCCTTTCCTCTCCTCTCCTCTCCTCTCCTCTCCTCTCCTCTCCTCTCCGTCCTGATCTCTGTATTTATATAGTTTTGTGTTCAGACAGCTGGTGTTGTGTTGCTGATTGTGAGACTAATCATCCGCTCAATTACTCTGGAATGTGAGGCTGGGCCGCGTTATGACTGATCAGCTTTCCCTCCTTCTCCCGCTCTTTCTTTTCATCTCTTTTTCTAGGATTACGACTCCCAGCATTTGTTTTTTGTCTCTCGTTCTTGTGCTGTTTCCTAAGCAGTAGTTTCAGATCAGTTCAGTTCATTTCAGTGACTGGCTAAAATAACATTCGATATTCCAATGAGGCCTTACCAAAGCAATGTGTGAGGAAATTGCATTTTCGTCAGAATTGGTTATTTCTCAGGCACTTTAACAACGTAACCATCACTAGTCTGGTTTTGCACTAAAAACAGAAACTGTAATTTACGGCAACTAACAATAAACATCATACTGAACGTCTGCATTGATAATAACATAGTGATATACAGAATTTCCAGATGAGGCTGAGGCAAATAACGACATTCAATCAGAAACAGTTTTAGCCAATAACATGGAGAGTGCAGCAGGCTGAGTTTAAGAGGCTTTTTCAGATATTTAACTTTTGCCTTATTATGCAATGAATGAAGGACTGGAAAACACTTAACTTTCCTCCCATCGAGCCTTTCTATGCACTTCTTCTGAAAGAGTAAGCAATTATACATTTTGAAAAAGGGGAAAGTAATACAACATTTAATAATCAATTAAAAGGATAAGTACCAGGGTGGGGTTTGGAGCGCAGCAATGAGAGGAAGTTCCGTCTGAGCCGGGATCATGAGAGGTTCAACCAGAGCTCATCGGATCACAAGAAGATTTGAATTACAGGGAAATAAAAAACTAAATACAAGAAGCTCCACTCATTTCTTGAAATCAATGCATTCTCTGTAACAGAAAGGAAAAATATATTGGTTCCAAAGAGGCAATCATGGCAAAGAGGAGATGAGGACCCAAAGCCTGGGTTCACCCTTTTCTCATTTGGTGACTTTTGTGAAACAGGGTTTGTGTGTGTGTGTGTGTGTGTGTGTGTGTGTGTGTGTGTGTGTGTGTGTGTGTGTGTGTGTGTGTGTGTGTGTGTGTGTGTGTGTGTGTGTGTGTGTGTGTGTGTGTGTGTGTGTGTGTGTGTGTGTGTGTGTGTGTGTGTGTGTGTGTGTGTGTGTGTGTGTGTGTTTGTTTGTTTGCAACTTGTTAAGTCCTTTAAAAATGAACACGGCATACATTATTAATACGTTTATGCGATACGATTGCATATTTCTGGTCAATATCAGCAATAATTTATTTGAAGATCCTTATTATCGGCTATTTCCACTTTAATGGCAAGTTAAACTACACGTGCAACATTTCCTAAATCTCACCATTACTTACATTTTTACAATTTACATATTAATTCACTTTTAGATAGCTTCCAGCTCTGTCTTGCTGTATCTAAGTGCTCTTCCTGCAGTGGAAGTGCCTGTGGTGATGCTCCAATGCTGCCAGTGGGAGGCCTGTTAGCATAAAAGTGCACTACATGCTGATGCAGAAGCTACATGCTAATGCTAATTAAGAGCTCTGGAGAAGAGGACATACTGAGCTGAACAATCTTCCTTGAATCTCTCCATGTTTTGTATTCTCTTCCATTACCTGTTACTCTGATTTAACAGAGAACTTCACATTAATCATGATACTAAATTATGAAAATGTGTGTTGCTGACACGTTTTCTGAATAAATTCCATTCATGTAAATCACATCGTATTGTTTTACTGCTGCAATGAAAACAAACAGGGCACATGTAGATATATCTCCACAACAGGATAGATCAAACCAAAAATAGATGATTTTATGGGAAGGGTTTAGTAGCATCGTTGCATTCTGGGTGGCAATCAGTAAAAGATGGAACAGTAAATTAAATAAAAAAACTCATGTCAATGCTTATTCTAATTGTCTTTGATCTGGTTGATTGCATGATTTCAGTTCTGTTTAAATTAAGATTTCAAATTTGAAACATTTGTCCCAACATAACGAACACAACTCTTGGGTTGCCTAATTGTCTTTTTTCCCGAGGTTGTTGCTAGACTTTTGTGTTAAATGCATGAGTGCTGTCAACCAATTTATATTCATACAATTAGTTAGGCATTTCCACATTTTGAATTAAACTGAATGTATTAGTGTTTATTGGAGTTACATTTTCAGATATATAGAGTAGAGGCTACAACTGTCTCTCTGAGCATGTCCAACATATCACTTTTGCGAATTAAGATTGAATCAATCCTTTCGATAGCTGCATGAAAAATGCATTTCTAAGTACATTTATAGATTACATCATTATTATAAAAAAACAAAACCTCTCTAGCCTGTCTGAGTAAATTGGGCTTGCTTTATTGATCAGGGAAATATCATCAATTCTTAGAGTTAATAATCTTTTTTCACTGATGTTTTCCACTTTGATGCATCATGATTACTGTGGATGATACTTTGGATGGAAACGCAGCTGCCGTGGTCCAGATTTGAAGTCCTGCTGTTTTGCGGAGAATAAGCAACGTGGGAGAGGAGGCAGGGATGTTAGTGGGCTGCTGCTTATCAAACCACCTGGTCAGACCACACACACACACACACACACACACACACACACACACACACACACACACACACACACACACACACACACACACACACACACACAATGCTGAACCTGACACTCAACCAAATGTATATTTTGTATCAGGCTCATACCAATGAACATTTCTCGAATTCTTTAAGAGGAAAACTCAATATCATATGCATGCCTCAATGCATTGATTTTTTTTTAATGCATGTGATATTCATGACTTAACCTAACCAAAAATGAAATGTGCTACCTGCAATCTGTCTTAGAGTTTCCTGAGTGTATGAGTAGTCTGCTAACTTCTGACAAACTTCCTGTCCAGACAGGAAATGCATTCTTTGGTGTGTGCTTCTCAGTCTGGAGTGTGTGTGTTTTCATGTTTGTGTTTTGTGGAAAGGGACAACAGACATGTCATGGTATATTACAGTAACTCTCTGTGGAATGTAACCCTCCTTCTGTGGACAACAACTCAGCTCATGTCTGGTTGAGCCTTGTTAGTACCTGAAACATTAATGCTAATATTGAGCACTGCAACAATAAATACTATCTAAATTTGAAACAACAGCCCCAGGTCAGTTGGGTTTTAGATATGATGTCAAAAATTTAAAAAAGTCACCATTTCTTGTAGAATGTTTGGAATAATTGGGACAAATCTTCACCTTTGCTGTAGATAACAATAAAATAATGTTGAAGTATTACATATTCTGGTTTGGTCCAATATCACATTAATTGTTCTGCTGTTTCTGTCAGCCTTCTCACATTTCTAAGCTTAGATAAGAGTCTGTCTCCATATGACATGTAATATTCTAGCATTTGAATTTATTCGGAGAATGAAAAGGGTCCTTGGAACTGAGGTTAAAATAGGCTTAAAAGGCTATAATAGGCTACTATAAATCAATGTTTTTCTTAAGGAAACTGACTTTCCCTGAGTGTACAAGAGAAAAAGCACCAATCATTGCATGAGATGTAATAGGATAGTTATGTGTGAAGAGTTGCATTACACATCTATGTATTTTAGGAGCAGGAATTTAAATGAATTTTACACATTCTTACTTGTTAATGTTGAGTGATTTGCTCAATGCCCTCTCTAGAAAAAGTAAGTTTTACTTGAATTCAGCATATTGTTGGCTCAATGGGTACATTTAGGTCTGAAAAAGAACCTCCAGTCGAAAGATTCAGTTCAACAATTTATTACTTAAACAAACAGTACCAATATTTACACTTCACAATCCCTTAAGGCAAAAATAGCAAAGTAGCATTCAGGCAAGAATTTTAGCAAGAGTCATCCAGCAAAAACAACTTAGCATGGCAAAACTGTACACAACAACCCATCAATAACATTTACTGTACAAAACACAATGTGGATCAAAACCAAGCTCTTGAAACAGAACCATTTGGTCTCACATTGAACGAAAGCAAAATGGTGTTTTGTGCCTTCAGGGAAGAAGAATCCTCCCATTCTTAAAGCTAGTAGTCTGTTTAAATTGTTCTTCCAGGGCCTTGACCTGCAGCCAGAGCAGTAGATCACTGTCAATTTAGTCCAAAGTCTGAGTTCATCTCCATAATACGTTGTGTGGACAGTGCAGGATTCATAGTCTTAGCTACAGAAAGCCTTCTTTCTACATCTTACATTACAGTGCTGGTGTTGCAGCCATACATCGATAGAGCCACATAATAGGTCCTTTTTGGTTTGAATTGATAATCCTTCTTATTGTCCGTACATCCGTTAGAACCAAACTGACGACTTTGCCTTGGTTTGATCAAGAGCTGCAGAAGAAAAATAAATACGGACATTAATTTTTAGGCTGACTAATTGAGTTAGAACACAGTTTGACAAATTCTTAGAAGTCAATCCGGTGTAGAATTTGTATTGCATTTACCTGAGTCATACCCCTCCAGGGACCCATGGAGGGAGGACGGGGACCAGGTCACAGAGGTAGCCGGGACGGGGCTGCTGCTGCTGGGCTGCATCTCCGTCTTCACCCCCTCACTGTGCGGGGAACTCGCTGTGCTGGTGCTCGGCTGGTTCTGGTTCCTAACAGCGGGCAGCAGCAGCGGATTAAACCTGGGATCCAAGGCTGGGCTGTGGGTGGGGTATGGATGGAGCATGGGGTGGTGGTGCCGGGTGTGGATGTGGGGATGAGGGTGATAGACGTTGTGGACATTGGGGTAGCCACTTTGGCTCTGGGGATTCAGGCTGTAGGTCCAGCTCTCAGGGAGGGTAGCCGGAGGGGGAAGGCCGGCCTGGGAGAGAACATGGTCGGCCCAGAGAGCTGCATCTGGGTGGTTGAAGGACACCGGGCTGGAGGAGAAGTCTGGGTGGACTGACACCGAGACAGACGGGAGGCAAGGACTGGCCTGGGATGGATACGTGCTGTTCCAAACTGAGCTGCTCTGCCCCTCAGAGAGAGACCCACCATCTGAAACACACACAAAGTATTCAACATGCTGCCACAAAAACATCTCCAATGTTTTCAGATCTTTAATAATGGTTAACTAAGGGCAGCAGCTCTTTGAGAAAGTTTAAAATGTGTTGCCCTCTTACCTTTCCATAAGCCTCCTGTGGCTGAAGGCTGAGTCACTCTGATTGGTTTGGTTTCGCTGTTGAAGGTGCTGGACTGGCTGAGAGCGCGGGAGAAGTGCTCGTCTACCACGTCCCCGATGTCGCCTTGGAAGTAGGTGAACAAAACACACCGGGAGCTCAAGTACTCTGCCTCTGCTGGTTGAGGACCATCCTTCAGCTCAGAATCGGACATAGATCTACGGATTGATTCAGTCCCTGGTGCTGCAAGACCCTGCCGGAGGCCCTGATCTCTGGAAAGCATCGCTCTTCCTCCTCCTTGCTGCTGCTGCTGCTCCATACACTCCTGCCTCTTACTGTAAACACTCAGCCTCCTCTGGAGAAAGAAACACAGAGAGATTAACACACAGATCCACTACTTTTCAATAGAATAGAGACTGCATACTTTTTAAGAGCAACCAAATGATATGTGTTTATTAAATAGGCATATAATAAAGAACCTAATTGTCTTACACATGGTATGGCTTCTGTTTTCCAAACACTATAAATAAACTGTTTAATAGTATCATACCAGTAATGATTTTATCTGGTAAGCAGCCTGAGAGCTGTGTGAAAATGAGTTTCCTTTTTCCCATACTGCATTCCAACTATTTGTAAAGCTCAGTGTGCCTCATCCACATTCCTGAGTGACTGACCGGCTGTCATTACATCACCATCTGACCGCAGGATTAATAGATCCGTGTCATCACGCCTGACCTGAGGCGAATACCGAGCATCAGGCTGGAATTTAATCATTCAAAGCCCTTAAATTTAAATTAATAGGTGTGTGTGTGAATTGTAAAGAAAGTTTGAAGTGGTGTCCTGAAGAGAGGTCAGGCATCATGGAAAAAACCTAACTGAGTAAAAATGAAAGGAAAGTGATATTTTTTGAGAAAACTAAAACTTTAAAGCATCCGAAAGTTGACTTACATTAATGGTTCTGTAGAACTTTTTTTTAATTAGTGTTATAAATAACTTTTGTTTTGGACAGATAATTCAAACGTCCATGATACATTAAAATGCCCTATCCTGAAAATATATAATAATAACTCTTTGTGATAGTTGTGTCACCCTATGAAGTCATGTCTCACCTGTTGTTGCTGGTGATGGTGGTTGTAGTACGTCGCCTTGTACGCCGCTGCAGGGTGGAAGTGCGCTCCATAGCTTTGGTGGTACATCACATCCAGGCAACTCATAACGACGGACCCGAGCGGGTAATGATGGAAACAGAGAAACGCGCTGTAACAGCCAAAGGGCGACTCTCTACTCCTGAGACTTCAGACGGGCTGTATCCTCCGAGCCATCGATGCCTCCATATATGCCCACACGCATACAATAGCCATGTCGTCCAGTTTGCATACAGACAATGCACCTCCTGCTGCGCGCTCCACCAGCACCACCCGGGGCCACAAAAGTGATCAAAACGGTATGAGACACACACAATATCCTAAAAAAGAAAAGAAAAAAAAACTCTTCTCTGACAAGTTTTCAGATCGCTTCTGATTGGATGAGTAATCCTTTCCCTCCTTCTCTCTCTTTCTGTTTTGGAGGGGAGTTATATTTAGAGAGGGCTGGGGCCATTTACTCACGCCCACCGGGGAAGGGCCTGCATGGAGTATATGGGAGTTTAGCAAGGCACCATAACTCTGCATTGATGGTTATATTCCCTGTCATTCATAAAAGTTTATTGCACTCATATGCTACTGTGGGTCATATAAAGATCTCACAGTTCAGCCACCTCTGACCTCAGCATGCCAAAGTTTAGGGCTGGGATTTTGGAATAGCTTAGGTAAAGAGTCCCTCTCCATAGAAAGAATGTAACAGACACATTAAAGTTTTTTTTAAATAGTTTAATTCAGCTCAATTACATGGATTGCACATTTGATATACCATCATGAAAGCCGCTTCGAGAAGGAACAAAATTAATCCTTTGTCGATTTAGTTTTCTGATAATAATTTGAAATACTGACAAAATGGCTTTAACATATCCACCAGCCTCTCCCTTGTAGAATTCACACCTAAACCCCCCACTCCCCTACTCTGTATGCTACTGTACATCACCTTACTGTAAAGTTATTGGCTACTTTAAAATGTTAGGAGCAGATTGTATAAACCCTTTGTGAACAATGTCATCTGCAGGTCATCTTTGAGCAACAGGTGCTTTTAAGGGTCAGATGCATTTCGGTCTGTAACCTTCAAAAGAAGAAATTACATCTTTTTGTAAGCTTTAGACATATACTGTAACTGAAGAGATGACTACAGTAAAAGCAACATTGTATTAATAATGTATACTGTACTGTTTATATACGTGCATTTTCACCTTTATTAGCAGATGGAGTTAAAGAGGGGAGACAAAGGAGCATAACATGCAACAAAGTCCTCTAATTGAAATCAAACAGTAGAAGTTGCAGTGGTATATCCTTCACATTCAGCTGCCAGGACCCCCTGATTACTGCCATGTACAGTGGTGACGGCTCCTTATCAGCTTATCCCTCTTTCAATTATGCTCCCTGGCTGACTGAGTTGAGCAGTTTGCTGCCACCTGTTGGCGAGGACAGGGACATGACATGTCTGTCAGTCTGACCTGGTGTAAACCTCACATCCATAATAATCTCTGTAATAGAAGCAAATTAGCCTAATTAGGAGACGTTGATTTTTAGGGAATTTATTTGCTGCGGTTTCAGGGTTTCAATAAGAATAATGGGCAGGGAAACTGTGTTATATATTGTTCAAATAATCACATGTCCATCGAATAAAGGATGAACATTTTGTGTCACAAATTCCAAACGTGTTGCTATAAAAATGGCATTGGATGTATGTAGACATTGAGATTTTGAATAATTTCTTATAAAAGATCATGTTTTCCCAATGTCTAGAAAACAAGAAGTGATTCCCAGGATACTTTTATTGTTCAGTAATGCAATGTACTCTTGATTTACTATGACCATAAATGTCTACTTAAAGTACATTCAAGTCTACGATGTTGGTATTTGATGGAGTATACCGACTGTGCCAGTATGGCTGTAGACACTGTCTTGTTTACCAGCTTTTTCCTTTCCCTCCAGTTTAATGAGAACATACTCAATTTAGTGAGAGTGCCACAGTGACGCGTCCTAAAACCCGGAAGTAAACGCCTTCCGGTTCTATTTTCGAATCATAAATCTATCGATCATAAATCTATCGATTCGATTTATGATTAGAAAATTATGAAAGTAGGGTGGATTATCCGGCTGAACAAAACGTGATCTGTCTCTTCAATTTCCAAAATCCTACCGGAAGTGGTAAAATGCTAACTTACTTCCGGGTTTTAGGACGCGTCACTGTGGCACTCTATTAACATTAAGATTGCCACAGAGTTATAATAACAACTTTATTTTGGAATGAGTACAAGCTCAACGTTGACAATAATAACGTATGGCACTGAATGTCTTTAGCCCTATATCATCCTTGAGTGCTTTGGTCCTTCTGAGGTTAAAGCGGGTCTGGAAGGCGGCATCAAACTTAATTGTCACCCCTGCCAGCAGTGTGTTAGCTCTCTTCTCTGCCTGCCAACAAGATGTGGTGAGGAGACATGCACAGCTTGTTGTTATCATACTGCCGTTTCCTGCCAGCTCCCAGACTTCAGTGCAGAGGTTTCTTTTTCCTCTCAACCCTAAGGGGCCCTTAATCACAAGCACCACTCTCACCATATTTGCCCTTCCTGAGCAGTCCATGGTTGCCCCTCAGAGAAAGTGATTCTACTTCCCATCTTGGCTCTGGGACTTTTTTCACTGGCCAGAGATCTTCAGTCCAGAGAAAAATACAGGGTAATTCCATTTAACTGCAGTAACAAATTACACTGACAAAAATGTCAAGCCAAAGAAGAACAGGTCATTAAAAGGGCTGACATAAAAACTCCAAAGTGGTTTTAAATATTTAAATAGGAGAGCCAATTTCATTTTAAACACACGGTTTCACCAATTATTCTCCTTCATGTGAAGTCGGGCTTCTTTGCTGCTTGTTCACCTCAATTTGGCTTTCTGTTATGTAGAGGTGCTCACCTTTCATCTGTCTCATATTCAGTAAATTGCAAGAACTAACCTGGAGAAACTTACTCAACGATTTGTTGCAGAGGGGTAATGTGTGTTTTTATAAAAAGATAATTAGATCATACATGAATTGAGCTACCAAACAAAGTGAAAATCACCCCTCCCATTTCCGGACCTACTCACCAATCCATCATGCAGTCACACTAATAGGCCTTTTAGCTGGTGTTAGTAGAAAATGCACAGGTGTTACTAATAACGTTAACGATGGCTCTGTTCCATTCAGGTGTCCCAGTAAATCCTGACAGTGAGCAAGCATGCACAACACTGACACTGAAGAGCTAAATGGAATTCAGCCATCATGAATTGTTTTTTTTTAACACCTGTACTTTTAATATAGTGTCATATCCACATTTCTTGAGTGAAAAAGGATTCATAGCCACTAAAATGTGCTAGTTTAGTCCTTTTTTTTCAACATAAAGTTGAGTTGGAATACTTCAACATCAAGACTACATGGAAAAACTAAACCCATTTTTCCCTTCCAACAACTTGCCGAATCAACTGAAAACACCCAGATAACAAAGAGGCCAAAAATGATTTCTTAATTTGTAGATTTGCTTGCGTCTGAATGAGAGAAATACTTTGCCCCCACTTTGTGATACATTTTTCTCCTCTCAGTCTAACCTTTCATCAGAGTTCATTTCCCCAACATTGGGATCTGTTGAAAGGTAAATGTTTAGGAAAGACAACAGGAAAATTCATAATTTATTTCCTGCTTCAACGCTGCATCCTGGTTGCCAGGTGTCACATCTGATGAGACTTCGGAGACTGTGGCAAGTGAGTAACATCTCACCATTTTTCTCATGTTTCATTCGCTTTGATTTCACAAAAGGGAGCGTGAATTATTCAGTTGCAAGCTGATGATGCGATAAGACTATTATGGAAGTGGGGCAGCATTTTGAAAGAAAAGCACTTATACAGGAATTACAAAAAACATGGAGTTTTGCTTATTTCAGAGGAGCGCAGCTGTACCCATCAAGATCCATGATAAGAAAATGTGCCAATTAGTATTAACAAAACCTTTTTAGATACAGGTTTAAGAAGATTGTATTTTGTGTTTCTTTTTAAATGTCTTGATTGTCAAAAATGTATGTTGTGTCCTAGAATTGAAATAGTATAAAGAGAAAAATGATGCCAATACATGGTCAATTTACAGATCAACTAATTAACTATTCCAAACCTATCAGAACAAAGTTGGAGAAAAGTGACTGGGGCATATTTTACTAAACTGTCAATATCAGCCCCATAACTCATTGAAATGTTACTGCCACCTCCCTATCTTGACAGACAGATCGCTCATGGTGACAGCAGCAGCAGACAAAGAGACAGATAATAACACTGTGCAGGGAAGCAGAGTTAGTCTTATCTCCATCTAGTGTTTTCATGGAGGAAATCTCGTCCCTCGCTGCCTCCGCCTGCTGTGGAAGTGGGGCAGTGGAACACTCACAGAGATGCCTGAAGACAGTGCAGGAAGTATCAAACACATACAGATTTAAAGCGGTGTCTCACACACACACACACACACACACACACACACACACACACACACACACACACATGCAATCATGCACACATGATAATGCATATTACAACAGACGGATACACACGAGCTCTCTGACACTGACGCTGGACCTCAGGGGTTTTCCACCAAACATCTGGAGCAGCCTGTGCCTCCCTGCTCCTCCGCTTCTTAATGAGGCACAGAGATGATTATTAGTGGATGTTTTAGAGGGGGAAACGGAGGGAGGAGAAGGGAAAGGGACAGAAATTAAAGTGGGGTTTGAGAATTGTTTGCTTTTCCGGCTGTAAAAAAAACCTTCAAAGAACGAGGGGCACCTCCAGTGCTTTAGATCTGAAGAAACTTCTCATGCCTAATAAACTTCCACTACTTTAGATCACAGACACATTTCAGAGGGACATTCTGCTCTGGGAAGGAGGGGGTTTCGGGGATACATCCCAAGAAACCAAACAAAAAAAACAGGTCACAAGTGTTGTGTCCCAGATTTTAGTCTCAGAGGTAACGGAAAGTTCAACCTTCTAAGTTTTGAGACAAAACTACATCACCAAACATAAATGCTTTTCGTCAAACACCTTTACTGCAAATGATGTGGCATCTTGCCAAATAACATGATCTACCTTTTTCAACCTTACACTGCGCTCCTGATTAGGCAGGTGTGAGATAACGCTGAGTGCCGTTCATGATTATATCTCACATTAGGCAGACTGCAGCATCATGAGTTTTGCTGTGCGGTTGCCCTGGGGAGAGTCCATAGAAACGCACACCTGCCTGAGTCCACCTGAAGACAATGATGAT